CTCTTCTTCCACTCTAGATTAATGCAGAAGATGCATTCCAACAGATTGATGTTGCCTGTGGAAAGAATGGAGCGGTATCTGGAATTAGTTCAGGAAAAGGGTACCCCATCTTTCATGTTGGATTTAAGATCTGGCTCGTTGTTTTCTACTGAATGTTCTTCTAATGTTTCAAGATATATGCATGTTATGGAACTACAGCGAGTTCGCAGTCATTATTTTTCTTTTTCTTCTTTGAATCAATACTCTTCATGGTTAAAATGGGACTTCCCCTGGTAATGCAGGTATGTTGATGTCTCAACCGTTGATGCTGCCTCATCGATTTTAATTAGCAAGCGTATAAAGGATACCGGAGCATCATTTTTGGAGGTAAAGACTCCTTAAAATATTATGTCTGGAATTACTTTGAAAACTTGTAGCAGATTGGGTAGCTTTAGTCCTCTCCTTTCATATTCACAGGCACCAGTTTCGGGTTCCAAAAAGCCTGCCGAAGATGGGCAGTTGATATTCCTCACAGCAGGTTAGTAATAGCTTACTCTTCACTGAGCGTGCATTAATAATTAGCATCATTTATACATATCAGATTATTTTTTGCTTCGAGAGTGGCTTGTCTGTGTCTTGTAACATGGTTGAATGAAAAAGAGATTTAAGATACTTAACATTTCAGGTGACAAGCCACTATACGAAAAAGTTGCTCCTTTCTTAGACATCATGGGAAAGGTATCTCTTTTGCTTGTGGTTTTTGGTTTAAATTCTATCGTTTCTTCTGTAAATAAACCATTCCATTACTAGTTTGCATTATGTGGTCCAGTCAAGATTCTATTTGGGTGACGTTGGTAATGGAGCAGCAATGAAGCTTGTCGTCAACATGATCATGGGAAGGTATCATTTGACCATCCATGGCTTCATGTCTTCACAAATCTTTCTCTTCTCCCTGATCTCTCTTCTCATATAATCTTGCAGTATGATGGCATCATTTGCCGAGGGAATACTTCTAAGCCAGAAAGTAGGACTTGATCCAAACGTACTGGTCGAGGTAATTTAAACACCATACTTTACTCTTCAGCAGAATTTTTTCTTCCTAATTCCTGTATCAACCTGGGAAAAACCTCTGCAGGTTGTCTCACAGGGAGCTATCAATGCGCCAATGTACTCGCTTAAGGGCCCTTCAATGATCAAGTCAGTGTACCCTACAGCATTTCCATTGAAGCACCAGCAGAAGGTTTGTAAAATTGTGATACATTATTTCCTTGTTTAGAATTCTCAAAAAGACTCTCGAGTTTGATGAGACCGGGATGATTTTTACGCGTGTATAGGATATGAGACTCGCACTCGGACTAGCGGAAACCGTTTCTCAATCCACTCCGATTGCAGCAGCAGCAAACGAGCTTTACAAGGTTGCGAAATCTTATGGATTAAGCGATGAAGACTTCTCTGCGGTTATCGAAGCACTAAAAGCTGCAAAATCCCAAGAAGCTTAAGGCTAAAGATTTGTTCCTTTTTTCAGTTCTAAGTGAAAGAGAGTTTTCTTTGTTGTATCATTGTATGAAAGATTTCAACTTTACAATAAATGTCTACTGGTAAATTGTTAATTTAGATTTAAAAGTGCCAACACAAGTCAACCTTTGATCTCCTGACGATGACAAAGAAATTTCGTTGACCAGAATAATACGGTGTCGTTTTCGAATATTCCGATGATAAGTTTTGATAACACCGAATCAAATTTTATTTTTGTTTCAAAAAATCTCAGTGGGCTTTTCACCTGAGCTTGTTGCCGTTTTCCATCTTGGTTAGGGTTTTTCTCTTCCAAGCTCAGAATTTTAAACGTTCCATGTCGTAATTTCCGATCAACGATTCGAAATTGGAGAAAAAAGTTTCCTTTTTTTGGTTTGGGGTTTCACTTGAGCTTCATCAAAAGAAGGAGAAACTACGGTTTGTGTTTTTGATTCAGCTGCAGTGATCAATGGATTACAATCCAGATTGTGGTTATGATGAATCTTACCATCGTCACCTACAAGACGAACAGCTACTACCACCGTCGGATTATGAAGTGGAAACTGTTGATGACCGGATGAACGGTGGTGCAGCCGTCGATACTGGTGGGATGCAGGTGAAGCATTCCGTTGAGCATCGCCATTCTTCTTCTTCTTCCATGTCTTCTCCTGGGTTTGTTGTTTCTTAGGGTTTATACTGGTTTGTTTTTTTGGTTGGGTTTATATACTTTTTCATATTGATGGAGAGTTTTTCTTGTGTTAGGAAACTATTCGTAGGTGGAGTTTCTTGGGAAACAACTGAAGGTAAAATGTTTTTGGTAGTTCTTGTTTTTGTTGAGTCATTATCATTGTCTTAGCCTTTGTATACCATTCATTTATGATGATCTGTGTAATCTTGCGTCTGGTTTGGGAGCTCCTTCGTCCTGATGTAATTGGTATTGGAGGGGACTCAAGTCACTATGATGCTCTCTTGTCTTTTCGTTTGTTTACCTGTTGTTTTGATGTGACTACATGCTTTTGTATGTTTTGATTTCATTGCTTCTACTTTTGTTTTTTCAGAAACTTTTGCGAACTACTTTGGAAAGTTTGGAGAACTTGTCGACTCTGTAATTATGATGGATAGAATGACTGGAAAGCCAAGGGGATTTGGGTTTGTAACTTTTGCTGATTCAGCTGTTGCAGAGAAAGTTTTGGAGGATGAACATGTAATAGATGATCGAAAGGTAGATATCAAGAAATTAGTTTTATGTTCGTTTATTATCCGCTCTGCTTATGTTTCTCAGTTATCTGTTCGATGCTTTGATTTATTCCTCTTACATGTTAGGTTGACCTTAAAAGGACAGTTCCTAGAGAGGACAGAGATACCAAGATCAAAGCAGTATCAAAGACGAGGAAAATATTTGTAGGTGGACTTCCACCGCTTTTGGAAGAAGGTAAAAGTTTCCCTTAAGGTTTTTCAATTCCGTCTGTGGTTGTTAATGTTGCTGATAATGTGGCTTTTCATATTTGTAGGTGAGCTAAAGAAGTATTTCTGTGTATATGGTGACATACTCGAGCATCAGATCGTGCATGACCACCACACTGGAAGGTCAAGGGGATTTGGTTTTGTAACCTTTCAGTCTGAAGATTCTGTTGACAGACTTTTCTCCGATGGAAAAGTTCACGAGATTGGTGACAAACAGGCAAGCCTCCTTTTTACTTTTTGTTTTGAAACTCAAACCAAATAACTCAATATAGCCATCTCAAGCACTTACAATGGATCAATAGGTCGAAATAAAAAGGGCTGAACCAAAGAGAACCGGGAGGGATACCAACTTTCAATCCTATGGTGCGAGTGGCATGTATGATCAGGAAGATTGCTATGGTGGGAAATCAACTGAAGATTACAATATGTATTCAGGTTATGGTGGTTATGGACTCTACGCAGGGAACTCCATGGTTAACGCCGCTGGATT